GCCACTTACTAAAGACATTTATATTAATTAATTTAGTAAACTATTTTCCTATCATATATATTTTTTTCTTTAATATTTTAGAACAATAATCTAGTTTTAATATTTATATATTACTACTAAATAAAAAGCTTATTTCGACATTGATAAACGATGCATAAACTCTCATGCTCTTATATCAGTTATTTTTTAAAATCTGAAGAAGCTAATTGTAATAAATCTTCTCTTTGATATAATTAATTAGGTCATTTTTATATTATGATAATATCAGGGCCGAATCGGAACCGAATTGTGGCCAACTCCAAAGATTAAAGATACGTAATTTGTCATTAGTGAATGACATATATCAAATTTTTACATAATTAATCCATGAATCCGCAAAAAAAGCTTTTTAGAAATGCTATTTTATTTAATTCCCCTTAGAATTCAAACTCATGGCCATTTTATAGGTTTCCATACTTCATTTTTATATATCGACTATTTTCACGGATATATTTTGGCTCAAATATCTTTGACTGTATTAAAAATCGAGCAAATTAAGTTGCTTAATATAAGCGGCAAGGCCAATATTATATTGTTCTATTATATCTTGATTTACCAAATTAAAGCTTTTCCTTATACGTATACTCTTACGAGATTTACATGATAGATCTTGAGTTTATGCATCTTAATCAACATTATGTGGCCAATTTCATTTCTTAGGTGCTTTTGCAATGACCTATAGGAATAACTTATTATAATGAATGAAACATCTAGCAGAGAGGGGTATATTAATCGACTTTAATTTGAAAGTAAATTGAAGGGGGACATATGCTTTTGTATGAAGAACAGTTTCCTAAAACATAATCTTATAACCTTTATTAAAAACGTTCGCAATATATATGATTGCAAATTTAAAATTTCAGTTTCTAAATAAAAGTATGTATTTTCTAAATATCTTGCATTGTCACTTTAATTTATCTATGCATAATTGAATGCCCTTTAATAAACACAACAACAATTGGGAATAAGCAAAGTAAATTTCACCAAAGATATTTAATTAGTTAAATCCTAGGAATAAAAAAGGACATAATTTAATTGATAGCAGCAAAAATAGCTTTGATTGAGGGTCATACTTATAAATGTGTTTTTGTGCATTCATGTATGCTGATTTCTAAAAGGAGTCTAAGATGAAGCCAAACACTATATATCATCAATACTCTACAAATCTGTTCTTATCAAAGACATAAAGGCCAAGAGCTTGTGATCTTTTGTTTATTTACGGTCATTTCTATTAATTGAGGAATTCTGAATACCCATAATAACATTTTCAAGGCGAATTTGGATAAGTTACTTTAAAAAACATCCTCTGCTATCTAATATCGCTATTATTTTAGAATCTGCGCATTGACTATATAACACACTAGATGCTTGGTTGTCAACGCAATTGAGCAGGTACCATTTGAAGTGCTATTTGAATGAGCCTAGGATATGTTTTGAAGAGAAGAATTTATTAGATTTATAATTTTCGAGGCGATATTGTCGAATTCAAAATCATTAAACAAATTAACTTATTTTGTCAATTATTTTATTTTATTATTTTTTTTAATGCAATTTATTTTTATTTTTATTTAGACTGAATATATATCTGATATGGTTTATATTTATTTGTATATCCTATGTGCCATCGAGCTGATTAAATATCGAACATATTTAGTCAGCGGGTTTGAAAAAATTCTTTTACGTTAAAGATATTCCAAAGTAACTTTTATTATTGATCCGCCTAATAAGCAAAAATAATGCCTTTTATTCTACCCATTTTCTTATCTGAAAGGAATGATCGTTGGCGCCATGTGTGCTGTCACTGGAGTGCTAACCATCTCACTTCCGGTTCCTGTGATAGTTTCAAACTTTTCTATGTTCTATTCGCATACCCAGGCACGCTCTAAGCTCCCTAAAAAGCGGCGACGCGTTCTACCCGTAGAAGCAGTTAGACCTAAGCTGCCAGCACATAACAATCTCTGCCCAACTTTAGCAAGCACGTCTGTGAACCCACTTTTTATGACTTCTTCAGCCGGTGGAATTTTTAGCTGCGGGGGATCCAATCTTCCTTCTGTATCAGCTTCTGTTGTCATGGCTCGTCAAAGAGCTCAAAATAACAATAACAAACTGCCGAACGAAAACACGTGTAAGTTAAATTGAATTGCTTCCACCATTTAGGCCGTTCGTATTTAATGCATATATAAGCTGAGAAAGCAAAATCTAATAATGGATTATCTTAGTAATCATAATAGAAATAAAGAATCTAATGTTAATTTATATCAAAATACGAGAACAGAATATTAATTATCATAATATATGACATGATGAATTAGGAATATTTTGTAGCTATTCTTTATTTATATAAGGATAAAGAGATATTATTTTAGTTTACAATTTCAGCAAGAGGAGCTGAATATTATATTCTGACGAATAGATATGAATAAACCTAGCAGATTGAATGATTAATATAAAGGTTATTAAGTTGGATTTACTTAATAACGACTATACCTTTGCAAAAAACTGTAAAATAAGATTTAATTAAATTGAATTGTTTTAATAAAAATAAAAATTTAATTTTAATTGTAAATGCACAATGTATATGAATAACCTTAATATTACATTTTGTGAATAATTAATACTTCTTTTACTCTGATGTTGTTTAATCATTTTTAGCTTTAGATTAAGTAAAATTGATCATTTAAGGCCTAGCCATCAAAATTATACATGTAAAAATACTTTTCTTTTACTATTCTATTAAATAATTATATATATTATATTGCTGTCTTCCGGATGCACTAAATATCATTCATAGGCAAATTGCAAAATCAAAGAATATTATATATTGAAAGATTTGTGTATGCTTATATATGAAGAAAATAAAAGAATCTGCTCTATGAGGAATAACTATGAACTATTAAATAATTTAAATCTTGTAAAAATAATTTTAAAATAAATTGATAATCTTTAGAATTAACTTAATGCTAGAATAACACCTGCTTTTTTTATATAAATTCATTTATATAAAAATAATTAATAAGGGAGCACAAATCAATGTAGCTCTACTTTTAATGTTATCTGAACTATAATCTCGAAATCACATCCTTCAATTAACCTTTATTGAGATAATCTAAAACTTTACAAAAACTAAGTCAATCTATATATTATTTCATAAATGTTTTACTAATTTGTAATTGGGGATAATAGCGAGATGAGATATTAGAAATGTATTCCTCCGATCGTTCTTTCAAATTTCTAACACCAAATTGACAATCTCAATTTTATAATTAAAATGGTTGCCGAATCCTAAGTTTTAGTTTGTAGTTTAAAGTGCATCCTCTTTTGTTGTGACGATAAGGTAGAATCCCTATATGATGCCTTAAATAGTTGCCATTGAATTCTCGAATTCAGACATTTGGCTTCAAAATAAATTATTATATGAGCTTATTATGTGTACCTCTAATGCATATTAAACTTGATTTAGTGGAATAATCAAATAATAGAAGGGTAACTTGGACAGACAATTACATTATTTTCGTAACTTTGCTCTTAACATAGAAAATCAAATAGTTTATGATAGTATCCATCACAATCAAGCGCATATTCCTAAAAGGCTGAATTATTGCCAAAAGTAATTTTTTTAAAGAAACTTTGAATACAAATTTTTGCCTCAAAGGTTTACTCAAAAAATTAACCAATTGGCCTTCGAGCAACGAAGAATAAAAGTAATGCTTTTTAAAGATTATTCCTTAACTGATAAAAATGTAAGAGCAATCATCCTGATTGCATGAGTTATCCGTCCAGGGCTACTAGTTGGCAACCGTATTTGGCTTATTCAATTCAATATCTAGATATTTACGCCTGCGGGAATTTCTTAAATATGCTAATGGATGAACAAATATAGAAACCCAGTGGTGTGACTATACAGCATCTTATTCAAAAAATATGAGAATCCAAGCAGCTTAACTTTAAAATAATTTGCTTATTAATGTACCTGCATTACTCGT